TGATAGTTATGAAATATTCGTCAAATTCGTTCAAATTTAAAATGGGATAATGTTATTCACTTTTTGGAATAAATATCAAATGACTGTTACTGCTTGTTACTTTATTTTTGTGTTTACTTAGATTTTACTTCAAAGCATGATCGAATGCATTTTATGTTAAATTGATGCATTCAAAACTGGATTGATGCCAGTTCTATATTATTTTCAAAAATATGAATTGGTATGTTTACTTTATATCTATTTATATTATGTTCCAAAATATGAAATTGACGCCAGTATATTTAAAGTACTTTCTTATCTGAATATTATAACCGGAAATTACATATTGCAATACCTTTCCCTCGGTAGCTGAGCATTTTCCTAATTGAGTCCTGTTTGATGTCTTATCTACTTCAGCATATGTTTCATTACACACTGTGGTTACCTTTTTCTTCTTGACTGGTTGAGAACATTTAACATCCAACTGATCGTCTGCTAGGCCGACATCGTTTCCTGGCACAACATGTTCATTTTCTCTAAATTTTCAAATGCAATGATGATGTTAGTGTCTATTTAGTTGCGACATTGGTTCTATCCAATTGTTAAGTATTGAGGTACGAACAAAACATTAACCTGATAGTTACGTACTAAAAATAACATTAAATACTTGACAATTGTCTAAGAATTGAGATTCGGGCTGAAATACATGTGTAAATGCTAGTTATTGAGTTACAGACTAAAATAATTGGTTAACTTCTTAGTATTTATATATACAGACTGAAATACTTGCCTTATTGCTAATTGCTAAGTATTGAGTTACATACTTAAATGCTTGACTTATTACTTAATATTGACATATACAGACTGAAATATTTGTCATACTGCTTATTATTGAGTAACGGACTAAAATACTTGGCTAGTTGCTAAGTATTTGCTAAGTTTAAATGCTAATTATTGACATAATGCAGACAGAACAATTTAACTGTTAAATTGCTTATTAGAGATACAGACTGAAATCCTGGCCACACTGCTAAATTGACACAAAGACTGAAATACTTGTCAAAATTCTAATTTCACAGATACTTGCTTAAATATTTCTCTTATCGCTAATTATTGAGTGGTAAGCTTATTTGAATACTTATCTAATTGCTAATTATAGGCTGAAATACTTGCTTTAATGCTAATTATTGACATATAGGCTGGAATACTTGGCCTCGTTGCTTATTGTTGAGATTAGACTGAACTCCCTACCAATAGATATATGTCGAAATTAACATGTTGTTTCATGTTGTTTCATTAAATACTTTTAAATATTGTGTGAATTTTCTTTATTTATTTACTTGGAAGAAAACATTTAGAGTAATACTAATACTAGGTTTATGTAAAAAGATCAACAAACCGCAGAGGAAGACTGTTTCCTTCTTGACTAGGCTGATCTCTTTTATGCATTGCTGGAAAGAAATTCTATAATTATCTGTAGTTATACTTTTAAATGTTTTAATATCAGAAATGATAAAAATAGAAGAAGAAGATTATATATTTTCTTAATAAATGATAATTTATTTCCATTCATTATTGTTATTGCATTAAACATGACATATATATACATAGTATATCATTTGTATAGGGCTTACATTGTTATAAAAAGGACGCATACAAAATTTTAAAGGGATGATGAACTCATAAATGACTCAGTTTAAAAATCTATACTGTTCTTACAAAAGCTCGCGCGCTTATCATGCTTGTAAACCATAGTGCAAAATTGTCCATAAAATTATGTAATCAGCTGCATACCTAACAAAGTTCGTCAATATGGCACAAGACAACAACACAAAATTAAATAAAAAGCTGTATGTAATTTTATAGGCCAGACATAGACCATATTTTAAAATATAGAGTCAACAATGATCTCGGGGTAAAAGGTCCAACACCCTCGATTTCCATGTTAATGTTACAAAAATTTTACTGTTCTATAAAATAATCAAAATATATTTACTTTTTAAACACAACAATAGTATTACAAGGAAGAAAAACTAGCAACTGATGATTCTTTCAGACTCACATTATTCAAATTGTCTATTTCTACAGAGATCAGAGGTGGGGCTAGCTTAATGACGATGAATATATATGATTAATAGATCAGAAAAGAAACATTGTGCTGTAGATTTTTAAGAATTTACTAACATGTATGATATTTTCACATTGGAAACATTAATAAATGAATTATTATAAAGTAAATTCAATGGTGGATATACTTTGTAGTAGTAGGTCAGTATTTCAAAAAATAGCATAGGTAAAGTCAACCGTCATTTAAGGTTAATCAGACTATAAAAGTATACTATTGCTGCAACAACTAATACTAGATTACCTCGATCATTGTTCCGTTTGTTTCTGATGACAATAACCATGACAGAAACTATTACAATAAGTGCTGAACATATTCCGACGATGATTCCAAAAAGTTTGCCATTTCCGATGTTGAACATTTGTTTTTGTTTCCCTGGTACAAATAGATTAATTAACATTAAATGACAACAAATAAAGAGAACTACTGTATATCTTTTAAATGAAGGCTGGTTTATTTGTGGGATTTCACCTTAGTAAAGGAAAGGTCTTCATTTGACTCGTTTACTCATTTAAATATATATGACATTTTATAATAGTAGAATGAGAAATAGCAATTCTTTCCTATTGCTCCAATAGGTTTCATCGACAGTCACTGAAATATTTTAGTTAGATATTTGAGAAAAAATTAAATGACATACTGATATTTGTAAAAGTCAATAACATACTGATCGACTTATAATTCAATGACATACAGAACGTCGTATATTCCAATGACAAACTAAACGTAGTATAATTCAATGATACACTGAACGTCGTATAATTCAATGACATACTGATCGCCAAAAATAAAAATGGCATACTGATCGACATGCTGATCGATGTATACTTAATTTTATAAGAACGTAAGGGAAAAACATTGCAGGAAATTAAAATATTGGATGCCTAATGCAGAAGCTTCTTTCTGAAGAGTATTCATGTTTACATTTTCAGTAAGGAAACATATTTTGATGGTCTTGGTTAAAACCAAACTGGGTGCAAACTTTTATAAACACTTCTTCTTTTCTGTTTTTTTTTTTCTTTTTGTCTTTTCCGATTTGGCTTTCCGTTTTTCTTTTTCGATATATAATTTAAATATTGACAGATATCTGCAACATTTACATACTTTTTATGTAAAATAAGTAACATGTAGCAGTTTGATAACACGAAATGATTATAATTCGAAAGCGCTTAGTTATTTGCCATATGTTAGTTATTATTGAAGAAAAAGCAAGGACCAAGAAATATGACAAATCAAGCCGGTATTTATTTTGTCAAAATTTGGACACACAAAATAATGCCAAAATAGGCATACCTGTTTTAATTCACACAAACTTTTCTTTACTTTTTAATATTATTTCAAAACTATAGTACTTTCTTATCCTACCCTCTCTGTGGTAAGATAAAGATGAAATAAGTAAATTTACTCTTTATAATTATGTTTACTTAAATCGTTATAATTTCTCTAGCTCTATAAAATTATTATCTATTATTAGGAAGTATCCACCTTCTTCAAATTATTCTCAATTAAGAATGAAACCATAGCATAGGATAATGTTTTAACAAGAGCACCGCAAGGCGGAGCATTATATGCCCGAAAGTGTTGTTTTTTTTTAGTAAGGATGAAGCATTTGTAAGACATTACATAAATTAAATAAAGTATTACCTCCTTCAAATAGCAATCCTCTTTTAAAGTTTGAATATTGTTGGCCAATTGGAACTCAGTTATGCTCTGGAAACTGTTTCCAGTTTTGAGGTAATAGCGACCTTGAACTTTAACCGTGTGACCCCAAAATCAATAGGGGTGTTCTACCCAATATGGACAATTATCCTATGAAGTTTCAACACTATGGGCCATATAGAAATTAAGTTATGTTCTGGAAACTGTTTTCAGTTTTAAAGTAATAGTGACTTAGACCTTTGAATTTGTGACCCCAAAATCAATAGGGGTATTCTACCCAATATGGACAATCATCCTATGAAGTTTGAATATTGTAGGCCAAATAGACCTTAGTTTATGCTCTGGAAACTGTTTTCAGTTTTAAAGTAATAGTGACCTTGACCTTTGACCTTGTGACCCCAAAATCAATAGGGGTCTTCAACCCAATATGGACAATCATCCTTTGAAGTTTGAACACTATGGGCGAAATGGAACTATAGTTATGTTCTGGAAACTGTTCTCAGTTTTAAGGTAATAGTGACCTTGACCTTTGACCTTGTGACCTCAAAATCAATAGGGGTCTTCTACCTAATATGGACAATCATCCTATGAAGTTTGAATATTGTGGGTCACATGGAACTTAAGTTATGCTCCGGAAACTGTTTTCAGTTTTAAAGTAATAATGACCTTGACCTTTGACCTTGAAACCCCAAAATCAAAAGGGTTCCTTTACCCAATATGGACAATCATACTATGAAGTTTGAACACTGTGGGCCAAACGGAACTTAAGTTATGCTCCGGAAACTGTTCTCAGTTTTAAGTTGATAGTGACCTTGACCTTTGACCTTGTGACCCCAAAATCAATAGGGGTCTTCTACCCAATATGGACAATCATCCTATGAAGTTTGAATATTGTGGGCCAAATGGAATTTAAGTTATGCTCCGGAAACCAAATTGCTAACGGACGGACGTTCTTACCAGAGCTACATTGTGGGGTTTTCTTTTGTTATTTCTTTTGTTCTTTTTAACCCCACAATGCAGAAAATAACCCCACAAATGACATCAAAGACATCTATTGTTATGAGAACAATAGACCAAACCCCATAATGTAGCTCTGGTTTGTACGGACAGACGGACGGATATTCTTTCGGGAAATCCTTTTAAGTAGCATCTAAATATCTATATTTATTCTTTGTAATAAGTGTTGTACATGATTAGTGTATTTGTATCCTTATGTAAGCTAAAAAGAAAGGAAAGGTCATACAATATCTTGCTTACTAGATTTGTAGATGTTAACAATCAAAGTTTTATTGTTGCTCAGTTTCAAATAGCGTATCGCACACACAAAGTGTTGTTTAGAGATGGCATCTGCATTAACGTCTAAAACACATTCCTGTTGATAATCACATTGCTTCTTTATTTTGTCTTCTTTATCCGTCAACTCAATCCATGATATATTAGAGGCCGGAACGCTGTCAGCTACACATTTAACATGTGCTCTTTCTCCTTTAGTAATACTTAACATTGGTCGAGAAATATTGAACTTTATAACAGGGCGGTCTGAAATTTACATTCAGTAAAACATCTCGTAAGCAATTAGTATAAAATTAAGCATGCATCGACTCTCCTTCAGATATATTTAATATCAGTCAGGATATATTGAACTTTTTTATTTCGATGATCAGTAGACATGGAAAGGTTCTCAATGTGGCAAAACAGTTTCTAATTAAGGTGTGGTTTTTCGAATTGAAAATATGTTTAGTCCATCTATCAGGTTATCAGTACAATCGATAACAAAATATCACATGTATTCTGCATTGAATAAATTCTTCAATATTTGTTATGGATAAATATAAAACTTGCTGAAATATACGATATGTATATTTTCTATAAAAAAAACATACATGTACTAACCAAGAGAAATACTTGTAAAAAGATTTTCGATACGAAGTTCAGTTTCAGTTTTTATTAAACCAATGCATATAATATGCAAATGGTTATAACAAACAAACAAACAAAAAAATAACAGTCAGAAATCACTAATATCCCATTTAAATAATACAATTATGACTAGCTAAATAAACAAAAAAGGAGATCATATTGTTCATTTCAAGTACTGAATTCATTACATTGTAACAAATGGGAACGGAGAATGAGAAGTATTAATTGTCTAAATTTTAACATAATGTTTTTACAAAATTAAGATAATTTTAGTAGGATATTCTTATTAAACTATTCATTAATCTGTCAAGTTTAAAGATATTGGAATGAATATAAAAATGGAAAGAAGATATTAACGTCTTATGTCATTAAAGTACGAACATTCAAATAAGAAGTGAAATTCATCACCAATAGCTTGATACGGACATAAGGAACAGAGCCTATTATTATGACCAATTGCAAAATGTCTGCCTTTTTCAATTAGTAATAGGTGATTCATTGTTCTTAATTACCAAAAATATTTGCCTATGTCAAATGAAAGTACATCTACATATTTTCAAAACAATGAGTATTTTATATGTACGATACACTAATGTATCAATAGTACAATACCAATCTTGTAAAAATTGATCATGTAGTCTAAGCTCCACAATATTTTTAAAGCGATTAATATTATATACCTTCTGTAAATGAAAATATTCTGACATGCCAAGATTACTAAGTGTATCTTTCACAAAATGTATCGATTTAGAATTAACAATATTCCTAGAGGACAAAAACAACATTGTTTTATAAAGAAGTTTACATATCTTATTTTCCTTAGCATTAATAATTTTACTCCAGAAACACAAAACTTTTGCTTCACCTGTAAGACTAATGGAAATATGCCTAACTCACCATAAACCATACAATTAGATGTAGAAGGAAAATGAAAATACGTAAATGTAATGAAAGACAAGAATATCTGTATGTTGTGATAATAAAGGTTTGTATATTACACGTACACCGTTTGTCTTTTTTGTAATTATTTGATTGTCACTATATGTCTGTCTGTAATAAAATATCAATACGAAATAACAAGTGTAAATCATTTGCATATTGAATAAAAAGAAATGTGCAGATCCGAAATGGCACCATAAACTCAAAATCACATCTACAATTTGGTAATATTTTTTTCTTGCTAAATGGCTGGTACCTTGTTATATTTATTCATAAGTATTATTATATGTTGATATTTAACCTATGTAATTTGATAGTGGTTTTGTATATATATGGTCTAACACGACATCCAAAATCAAATTTATTAAACACACTTAAATCATAAACATAAGTAAGCCTCTGAAAAAGCACACGTAACTGTATAATATCAAGACAAAAAGATAGTTTTTATAGTACATGGAAAAACGCCACTGTCATGTGATAATATACATGTATACTAGCAATTACATGTGAAAAATATATTAAGAATTAAAATGATCTTTTTCGATATTAAAGTGTAAAAGTGGTCAATAAGTAAATAGAAGTTGTATTGATTAATGTGTATTAGCTTACATGGAAGTTGAATTGTTTTTGTGTCTCTAAGTACCAGGCCCTTGAAGTATGCGCAATCGGCAGCACATGTAACATATGTACCATTGTCTTCTTGACTGATATTCAAATTAATGACATACTCTGTTTTCCACGCACCATGCGGGAGACACATGCTACTTGAGTTTTTCTCTGAACCGATGATGTCGTTGCTTGCCGTAAAATTAGCCCTGCAGACCGAATTCGAATTTTTCAAGGTACATACAGCGTACATACGAAGTGGATCTACCGAGTAAAATTTGATTTCAAGTTTGATGTCAGATGGAGGAACTGAAATAAATAATGTTAGAAATATTCCCTAAATTGATTGTTTGTGCAGGTAAATTTAATTGTCAATTTTATGTTTTCAAACTTTTGACCCCAGTGGAGCTCATTTGATATGTTTTCAAAGTATCTGAAGTATCAAATAGCGGAAAATGAAAATAAACACCAGAAATATGTTTATTTTGTGAACAAGACAATGTAAATCGTAAAAAAATATATATAAAAATGTATATTCGGACGGGTTGAAATTTTCTTGATGTCATTGCTAACAATCCTTATTATAAAATGTCCTATGTCGCATGATAATGTTCTTTTAAAATACGTCTTTGTATCGTACACGTGTCTGTCACTGAATAGCGTTAATCATATAAGTGAATACATTGTTACTCTAGTGGATATTGCTATGATAGAACCTAACGTAGCAGGGAAGCACCGAGGTACCATTTAAATGACCTGAAATATATTTTTTACCTCCTCATGTATAAACTATGTATGTGACCGTAACGTAATATTATAATGTCTGCAATATCCAAAATATACTATGTGGTTTCTGCTGGTCGGATGTGTGCATTTAAGACTCATGCAAAGGGGAAGAAACTAAGTATCAAAGTGAAGTCCGTTCCTATCTATCGCTCTACCCCCTTTTCCCAGGCAAATGATATTGTTAAGTAAAAGTCAGTTTCCACATTAAGTTTTTATGCCGAAACATGTAAATTTCACACTCAGTTCTTATCGTTTTATGATGTTATGAAACGGGCACAGGTAGTTTTGGTAAGTTTAAAATTGTGTAAAAGATAAAAAAAATACTTGAAATAATTTGTAAACGTTGTGACCACATTTAAGCTTTATTCATCGTTGGTTTTTAATCGTCGTTACCTGATTTCAGTATTATCATGGCATTGATGCCGATTTTTATATTTACCTTGTACAGCCACTGAAACATTATTCGTAAATCCCGCTTCTTTGCCACAATAAACTCCGTAGTGTCCGTTCATACGGCTGTTGGCAACAGTCAATGTATATATTCCGTTTTCTTTTATGTTTTCAAAGTAAATATCGTCTCCAAGTTTTATATTTATATAAGAAGCAGATCTATTTTTTGATCGAACCCACTGGCGCTCAAAACCTTCAGGGTTTTCCATTACATCTTTAGACGGATAATATTCTAAATATACATTTTCGTACTTCAATACACATTTCGTTCTAAGGTAAACAAACCCACATGGATTATTGTGTCTATCTGGAAAAAGTACACGAGATTACCTTAGAAATATAATATTATAATATACAAGTGATGCTAGTTTGATTTTTTTCTCTTGACAGCAAAAATAGAAAATCAGCATCACATTCCTTCTCCATTATAATATGAATAATTCTTCAAACTAAAAAATATCTTTAAATTGATCTGTCTTAATATCAAGAAACAGAATAAAAAATTTCTATGTTTGATTATCAGCTATTCCTCTAAATACCCAGATATTGTTATAAGGGAGCAGCTAGCTTGACATGCATTTTTATGTAATGTTAATGTTACAAACAGTGTAAATTTGACTTCATATTCCGATTTAAGATATGAATACCCATTACTTATATTTCAGTCTGTGAGCCATTCGCAGATTTTGCGCATGTGTCTGCGCTCTTAGAAGCTAAAAAAATAAGGACGGCGTTTTAAATAGAGTTAATGTCCCATTAAGATAAAAATGCCAGACAAATAAGTTAAACTTTTTGTCAATGATTGGTTAAGTAAGAGGGGCGAGCAGTTTATTTCTTGAGAAGTAAAATTGACATACCATCAAGTTCAAGTTTCCCTGCCTCCATCCAACAGTGCATGCTTTCGTTGAAATAATGTATCCGGTAATATAGCTCATCACCTTTAGGTACACTGTTTGTTAAGACCATGTAGTATGTTCCATTTTCATTATACTGTATGAACTTGTATGTCAAAGGACGGGTATACCATGTATGTCGTTTAGTTTCAGTTGCACGTTGCCATTCCAGAACTGCATCTTGATCATGTGAATCCGGGGTAAAAGTAAACGTTACGTTTCTTCCTACTAAAGCTGGTTGCTCAATTTTCAGATTTCCACATTTGCTTATACCGTTGTTAACTGTTAGTAAATAAGTGACATAAATATATGTAGAACAATGTTTAAATCCTAGGATAGTACCATAAATATAGAAATATAAACACTATAAATACAATTCTATGTAACTAAAACATGAAGTTTTAGTAACACATAACATATTTAAAATGTTTGAAGGATAATTTTTGGAGGTGTCTTTGAAAGTTTTCTTGATAAAAAAAAACAGAAACATTTTTAATGATACAAAGTACATAGTCTTTACTAAACCATTATAATTTCAAATAAATTATTCATGTATATTTTACTCGTCACGACTATAAAATAAAGATGTTTCATACGTACAATTTAAAAAAAAAAACTTCCGCAATCCGGTGTATGGAGTATCCGAGAAATGGAGAGCATTTTGTATATAAATAAAGCAAGGCATGAATTGTAAGGCATGGATAGGAACTTTCAAAATCGTCAGAAGAGGGATCCAGATCAAAGAGAATCCGGATATGGCTGGTTTTACTTACAAGGATATGTTACTAAGTCAAGACTAATTATTTTAAGATAATATTTAGCTTTTTAAGAAAATTATATATATATATATTTGTATAGTAATGTATTTCTTAGCTGATGACTTGTTATCAAAGAATATTAAAAGTATGGATAATTTAGCTATTATTAAATTAACAATTTTAAGAATATATTTGTTTTTACTTACTCCAAATTAAATTACTTAAACTAATATTTTATCAAGGTAGCTACATGTATATCATGATTTATCAATTATAACACATACTAATGTATAAAAAGTTATGAAAATGCTGTATCGGAAATGCTTATTCATTTACCACATTTTTCGATTCCACACTTATCCCAACCGCCACTGTTTGACGTCCAACACCACAGAAAATCCTTTCCTACAGCACGACAAAAATTGGCTGCATCTGATACTGTAACGTCATTGAATTGTTTATTTAAGTAGTCATAATCATCGACCCAATCCCATCTTATGCACGATGTTCCGTTCTTTGTCCTCTGCTGGTGGCCGGTGTAGTCATCTACTGTTGTAGTATAGCAGTCTATCACCAAGCCTGAAAAGATAGTGTCTTTTATATGTAGATATCAATTAATAACAACACTGAGTTTACTGTTACTTCTTTTATGATTGTTTTCCGACTTAAAGGGAAAGACAAGGTTAGAATAAAAACTTGATTTCAGAAAAAGAATACTATAAATAATAAATCTGCAAATTTTCTGCCGCCAAATAATAATATTAAACGAATGATAACAAAATTTAAATCGCTAAATCACCGATTTCTACAAATCAGTAAGCGCGGCCATGTTTGTGTATTGGCAGGTGCGCGTGATGTCATTTCCCCACATCGATAAATCTAGTTGAATCGTAAGGAAATATTAATATAATAAGGTATTGACCAGACAATTTAATTTTCACAGGAGGTGTAGAGGAGATTTTTGTATGGTTCAAAATACGTAACAATATCAAAAAAAATAATAATAAATAATAAAGAAACGTACGGCTAGCCAAAAGTTCTAGCCGAAGGTGAGTCACGAACGACTAACCAGGACGCACTGTATTGTCTAGCCGTACAGCACTTTTCAAAATTATATGGAAGTCGAACGTTATAAAATTGTTGATCTTCATGCTTATCATTTGTTGTTTTATTTGTATAAATTATTAAATCATTTTTGTTAAATTTTAAGCACATGGATCGAATAAAAATGATTGTCGGAGTGGAATAAATAAATAAAAAAGAACATTGAATGAAAAAAAAAAAAAAAAAAAAAAAAAACACGGTGAAATGCAATTATAATAATTATAAAATTTTCAAAACAGTAGATAAATATCGAACTTAAAAGCACAGTCAATCAATTAATTAGCCTTAATAAAAAAACCTATCCAGGGACTGACAATAGAATTTTAGAATGCCTTTCACGGAACATGCAAACTTTCCTTGATGGACAAACTTCTATACAGTACCGTCGGTAATTGTCGCAATTATCAAGAGCCTAACAACAATCATGTTCAGTGTTTGTTTTTTTTTTTTTCATATTAAAGGTGTCGAAAATTAAACTTAATGAAACAAAAAGGATTATTATCAAAATTTTGTAAACTATTTCAATTGGTGTAAATGCAAGCAAAGGCTATTTTTTCTCGACATCTTGCGATGACAAAGATCGGTATATATAGCGATCAAGGCGATTAATCTCTAGAAAGTTAACATCCGAAGACAATTAATGCTGTTTCTTGGTTAAAATCCTCGCTTAAAGTAATAAAATAACATATGCATTTTCGACTTCCATAAAATTTTGAAAAGTGCCGTACGGCTAGCCAATACAGTGTGTCCTTGCTAGTCGTACGTGACTCACGTACGGCTAAAACTTTTGGCTAGCCGTACGGGCCCGTACGCTAGCCACTTCCATTATAAAAACCCTACTAAAACGTGTTCTTAATAGTACATATAATTAAATTTTTGCAGTTTGATTCTGACTTTCAAATTTAAAGGTGTGAACATATGTTATAATTGATGTACACATTTCAAAAATATAAGCAACTCTTTTGAAAAGTAAATTGTTAACATGTCTGTCAACGTATGATGCTGCGCATCGTAATCGTAGCCTAATAGTAACTGCAGGCAAATCATTTTTATTGGCTGCTCAAAAATTTAATTTGCATAATTTATTTACACAATTGCTGGTTCTTACTACTTATGTCTAATACTGCGCATTGTCCATTTTAATTGTTCCTAATTTGCACCAAATGTTCCTGTCACACTGTGTACTGACGATTTTTATTGCTCCTTGTATGCATCTGTGCCGACAGACCTTTTGATCATGCACAATGTTGCCCTGATTGGTTAATCAATATAATGACAATATTACAAGAGATTTTATTCAGCATTAAACATTGTACAAATGTTTATAGCAAGAAATGATGAACAAATCAAATACACATCCCATATATACAAATGGTGAGCATTAGTGCAAAGGCAATAATAAGTCCTCTTTCTTCCTTAACATTAATAAGTGAAATGCATTTTTTAAGTAAGCATTTAAATGTTTTCTGGTATAAAAAAGTGATGAATACATGATTGGTTAATCACCCTTGTCAAATATTTTAATGACGAAATAGACATCTATTTTTTTACGCTTCATCAGTGAACTGAATGACCTTAGGGGGAATTAGGTTCCACACCTGTCAAATTATACTGTAGTAAATTACAGCACGTCATAAAATAGCAACACATTTTTCTCAGTTACCAATAAGCATTTTAAATATTAAGTAGATTTATGATTTTTTGTTTTATTGGATTAAATTTACGGTAGTAGAAATGCGTATCTGTCGGGGAAAGGAATTTGGTAAGTAGATAACGTGGGAAAAAGCTTTAGGGAACTGGATAAACCCGAGAATATGCGTAATTATAGGGGAATGGGCAACCTGTTGCTGTTGGTACCAGTTTTGACTTGGTGCCTAAATAACCTAACGGACAGTTTTGTTTTCATACGATATTAGTCTGGCTGCCGAATTTCCTGCGCCATTCTCATTTTTTGCGTCAATGGCGGAAAATCGCGTCCTCAGCATATTGGATTTAGTTGATATTTTACCGGAAAAAAAGATACATGACCGGCGATGTACCCTAATTGGACAGCTTGTCTTGCGAAAATTAGTACAAAATAAAATAAAATCGTCAATTTGAAGAAGTTTCTCATAGTACCCAAATTAAATTTATGGTTTATCTTTGAAAATTAAGCAGTCATTGCTTAAATCATGTGGTGGGATCATCAGCAAGCTTGAATATCGGACAAATGATAATTAATGTCGCGGCGTCTTCAATTAATTAATTAAAGCAATTCAGTTCCATATGATGTTTTCATAAATAATATATAATGTACGCAATAAAATTAATAAGTTCTTCATCAAGTTGTACCAGCGTGTACACCTATACCGGAAGTGGGTGTAACACGTCACAATCTCGGTCTCGTCTGTCTCGCGAGAATGACAGAACGGCAAAATGGCGGCGCCCATGAACTTATTTCTCAAGTAAAAAATAGTGTCTTAAAACACGAATTTCTCTCTTATAGGGTTGGTGTCAATAGGAAAACTGTCATGGTTCCTCTTTTTAAATGATGAATATTTATATTAGACAGACATCAATCCATCCATTCCTATTCCTTTAAAATGAAAACCAGGTTAGATTAATAGCATGGCTCTAAAACAGCTTGAATTTAATAAACAAGAGGGCCATGATGGCCCTGAGGTCGCTCACGTGTATATAGGCCCCCGTAGCGAGGCAAGTTCAAACCCCAGGGCTTTTATTTGAACAAACTTGGAAGACACCCATTAGAAGATGTTTCATGATGTTAAGTTTTTACTACACACATATAATGAAAAACCCCGGCAGGGCCAATTTTAACCCAAGGGCTTTTATTTTTACAAACTTGGTAGACACCTATAAGAAAATGTTTCATGCTTAACATCTAAGCTCTAGCTCATTGGGTTTTTTAAAAGAAGATTTTTTAAGTTTTTACTATACACATATAGTTAAAAACAATGATACCCCTGGGGCGGGGCCAGTTTTGACCTCAGGGCTTTTATTTGAACAAATTTTGTAGACACTTACTAGAAGATGTTTCGTGCTTAATATCTAAACTGTAGCTATTTGGGTTTTATCAAAGAAGATTTTTAAGTTTTTGCTATACACATATAAGGAAAATAAATGACCCCCGGGGCGGGGCCAAAATTGACGCCAGGGCTTTTATTTGAACAAACTTTGTAGACACTCACTAGAAGATGTTTCATGCTTAATATCTAAACTCTAGCTATTTGAGTTTTTTCAAAGAAGATTTTTTAAAGTTTTTGCTATACACATATAAGGAAAATCAATGACCCCCGGGGCGGGGCCAATATTGACCCCAGGGCTTTTATTTGAACAAACTTGGTAGACACCCATTAGAACATGTTTCATGCTAAATATCTTAGCTCTAGCTCTTTGAGTTCTTTAAAAGAAGATTTTTTTAAGTTTTTACTATATGCATATAGGGAAATCAATGACCCCCTGGGGCGGAGCCAGTTTTGACCCCAGGGCTTTTATTTGAACAAACTTGGTAGACACTCACTTGAAGATGTTTCATGCCAAATATCTAAGCTCTAGCTCTTTGGGGTTTTTAAAAGAAGATATTTAAAGTTTTTTCTTTCGGTTGCCATGGCAACCAGAGTTCTGCATGGAATTAAATTCTTTGAACAATTTTTAAAGGTGACCACCAAAGGAACATTCCTGTGAAGTTTGGATGAAATTGGCTTAGCGGTTTATGAGGAGATGTCATTTTAAAGTAAAAATTTACGGACGGACGACGGAGTACGGACGACGGACGGACACCGGACGAAAAGCGATCACAAAAGCTCACCTTGTCACTTTGTGACAGGTGAGCTAAAAAGATAAAGATTCTTGCATGATATTATCATCGTCAACAGCACTATCATCTGTAAAACTTAAATCATTACTATAGTCATCGTAGACGTAATCATTATCTAACAACCAACACAATCACCATTGTTAAATCGCTACCGTCAACATCACAATCATCATAAATGTTGTCATTGCTAAAATCTCCCCAATCACTATGACCATTTGAGATCATTATCATATTATCACAATCACCGTTTTCAACACCATTGTCGTCATCATCAAAATCTTCGCATAGCCATGAACTTTGTTAGAATCATCTTTATGCTCATCATCATCTTCATAATCATCATCATCACTGTCGTCAAATCATTATAATCTTAATATCTTTGTCGAATTATCATTTTCTTCATCATTATCGTCACCATTATCAATATCATCAAGACCGTAAAGATCATCATATTAGTGACAAAAGTTTAAATTCATGAAAAAACATGCAATTTACCTACCAGTTCCCGTGACAACACATGTAACTAAAATGACTGAAAGAAATTCAAAATGGAAACAAGTATTACTATTCATTGTAAGCAAACGGTAACTAAATACAGATTCTAAAAATATTTAAACAGTGCAAGTGAAAAATTGATTTGAAGGAAAGTGAGAACTTATACATGTATCTATAAAATCTGCGCTTCATATAATATTTCATTATGAAAAAACTAAATGATTAATCAAGGAGGATGTTAATAAAATTTCCGGATTTACAGTTTTCTTTATGTTATCCAATTGTTAATTTCTGTTTTATCCATTTAAACAATGATTTAAAAGGAAAAATATTTATTATCACTACAATATAACAAGACAGTCAACTATAGCTAGTATTGCTTGCACCATAACGCTTACATTTCGTGAAATAAAATGAAAACAAATAATAAAGTTTAAGCGTAATATGTCTAAAAATATTCGAGGATAAGAATTGAAATGAAACTAAATGCCTAGATCAATTGATTCATGAAAAATTCTGCTCAAAACACGAATGTAGTTTTGAATTGACTAACAGACGATCCGTGTCTGTGTAAAGTGTATTTTTAATTGCCTCCTTGTCCACTAAAACTTCCGCTTGCGAGCGAGCAAAACGCGAAAAATCGCCGATTTTGTACTGAAAATTGATAAATTAGTCCAATAAAGACCAATCACGGAGAAATTGTTACTTTATAACTAGGAGTTTCATAAAAGTTATTATTTCTTCCCGCAGCCATACGGAAAAACATGTATTTTCCGTACAAATACGATTTCTAACGCCGATTCTTAAAAAGAATGTCACAAGTATTGACTTCGGACACCGATTTCAAGCTTTATATATAATATACGAGCAAATCCTCTTGATACTTTGAAGACTTATCATGTGAGCTTAAGAAAATTAAACAATATCTGGTGTGCACACGGTGGTTTAGGAAAAAATGGTGTTATTTCCTAACTGTACGGTTACTTGCTAACTCATTGTACGGTTGCTTGGGAGAGCAAGCTATTAAAACTGTGTACAGTTGCTTGAGAGCCAGCTATTTTAAAATATTATGATAATTTATTTATTTCAGCTATTGTTAATGAATTTAAAATCTAAAATTACATATAAACGGCGTATTTACGAGTCAATGTTTTGGATATGGGGAAAATCCATTATTGTACAGCTAATTGATGTAATGATTTGCATTAAAGAACTTCACATTTGTTTATGGAATGTCTTTACATTTTTTAATTATACCTTTATGACATACAAAAATTTCACATACATTCATTTCACATAAATACATAATAATGTCAGATTATATCGTAATTTGTTTATATTGAATGTTTTATCTAATTTAAATTTTACTTAGTAGGTCATAATGTTTTAATCTTTCATTAAAAAAAATGTCGGAAGTTGAAAATAAATAAAAAGAGGGTTGAGGTTTGAAAAGAGAGAACATACCCATGTATCGTATTAACACGTATTTAAAGATGCCATTTTTTTATTGGATGTTAATGTTTTAATGTTAGTGATAAATAGTACATACTATTATTTTAAAAGGGACCATTTTTTAAGATGGTACTCAACCGTGGTTTGAATAATTGCAATTCCTTTTTCAATAGTATTTCTGAGTTTTAGATATGACAGAAAATGATCGAAAAATGGTAACTTTTTTCTTATATGCATCAATTCAAAGTGTGTGTTTTGTTTCTTTGTTTGCTGTTTTTGTTTTTGTTTTTTTGTTTGTTGTTTTGTTGTTGTTGTTGTTGTTGTTGTTCTTGTTGTTCTTGTTGTTGTTGTTGTTGTTGTTGTTGTTGTTGTTGTTGTTGTTGTTGTTGTTGTTTTGACTGCTCTCAATATTTACATACATGTAATGTGCTGTAAAAAAACGTCGTTCGTGCATATAGTTAAATGATCGGACTGAAGATATATTTTTTTTGAACGATAACCTGTGTATTCTGTTTTCTTTTTATATGAGACATATATAATAATTATGTCACTGAATGTTTATTCCAAAAAGTAGGTTAATGCAACTGACATTTATCAAATTAATATGAAAGTGTGTCTTATTGACCCCTAAAATTGAATGTTGACACAATGTAAGTGAGTTTATTTGTAAAAAAAAATAATTGATTGATTGATTGATTTATGTCTTATCAATGTACACACTTTACTGTGCGTTTAGGATAATTATTAAGTGACGCGGTGGTCAAGTCCACTAAAACCTTTTTAAACAGTTATCATATTGTGTTTAGCAGGCTTGCCATATTAATGAAATATCGACAAATTTACCAACTGTCGGCGTAACGCAGTAGGTAAAGTTGTCTGGTAAATTTATAGTTACGTATCAATGCAAAACAGCCAGGTTCGGTCCCCAAAAAATCTGAATAATTATCAATCGAGTAAGAATATCTTCCTTTTTTCTTGTAAAGATTATATGTGCTGCGTTATTTTCTATTACCTTCTTAACTCACTTTTGTTTTTAAATGTTGCCATATTTAGCAAGTTGATGCATACATGTACATAAATTGATCCGGGGTACGGCATACCGCAGTGATCATTAAACATAAAGGTGAAGTACTTGGTTGTGACCCATTTGACAAAGCACGTGAAACATTTGAAAACTATTTAAAGCCACAGTTAAAAGAGACATTGACGTTACAAATGTCTGATGTTTTATTAAATTTGGTTTAAATACTTCGAAACCAGTTTTGTCATGCTTTTAACGTTTAAGTATGTTATGTTTTGAAAACGAAACCAGTGTCTCGTATTTCAGCAGTACTTTACACTTTTGCAAGCACCACAAACGTTGGAATGATATAATACTGCAAGATATTATACACATAATAGGAATTACATGTTAATTATGTCATAGTTTATTACATTTAATGTTGACATTCAATAATCATGTACACAACATGGCGGCAGACAGGTGGATTAAAGTTGTTTAACCATATTTCAAGACTGTCTGTACGGAATACTTTGGAATTTTGGGCTAAACGAAAATATGAGGCGAGCGTACATACATGTATCTGTGGGCACAGTTTAAATTTCAAATGGGTGGTGTATTGTGTAATATTATTAAATGCAAATGTTTGCTAATGCCCATAAAACTAAAAGATGGTGGAAAAGTGGTGTGGGAGTAAATGATCTAGACTCCAAATATAGAGCCTGAGGTCGTAGGTTCGTGTCCCATTGAAGGCGAGTTTCGGCTTGCTAAATTCACACTGGTGCAATATTACTCAATATACAGGAAGCAGTCAATTTTGTTTGGCGTAAGTGATTTAAAAAACCTATGTCTCAAAGAGGTTTGACTTTAAAGGGAAATAAATAAACATGATGTATTATGGTTATATGCAGTAAAACACATAGCACAAACAAATAATAGAACACAAACTGGTACTGACGAAAAGCTACAATGAATGCATTATCTTTCCTTCTTTAAAAATACATGTTCAGCAAGACAGGAGGTGATATCTCCTGTAATTCTTTAATTATTTAAAATAATCAGAAACCATAAATCATGCTGTTATTGACGATAACACGAAAACGTACAATTATGTGTTGAACGAAATGAAATTTACTGATCAATCACAGCGTATACAGCCATATATCTTTCTTGACCAACTACTACGTACAGAACATGAATAACATTATATCATACCGGTTATTTTCTATTTCGAAGCAAATATAGACGAAAGTTGAGCCAAAATGTACAAACGGCAGCTATTTTATTTCCGTTTTTTTTTTAATTTAACCCATCTCCTACACATTGGCTAAAATATTAATCATTTACACTGGTTATATTTAACATTTGTACCATCGGTTAACCATAGTTTAACCGGGATGTTAACTTACCATTGATTTAACCAAGTTATTCACTTTAAACAACATTTATACAAGTGTGTGCTGTAGCAATTCGCCCAAACGCATTTTCCGGTGTCGATTATACGGTAGCACAAAGGTGCTATGTGTGTGTTTTTATTTATCTCGTGCGCACGAGATACTTTGTCGTGGCCACGAGCTACTAAGTCGTTGCCCCGAGCTACTACAATATGTACACGAGATAAACAAGTCGTTGGAACGAGAAACTAAGTCGCGGTCACAAGAAAATTAAGTCGTGAGAACGAGATTATATGAATATATATACAGTGTACACTGATTTTTAAGTTATGTCGTGCTTACGACTTAGTTATCTCGTTCCCACGACTTAGTTACACATGGCCACGACTTAGTAACTCGTGACCACGTCCTAGTAACTCTTGGCCACGACATAGTATCCCGTTCCCACGACTTAATTATTTCGTGCCCACGACTTAGTAACTCGTTGCTACGACATAGTATCTCGTTCCAACGATTTAGTTATCTCGTGCCCACGAGTTAGTCAATTATGGCCACGACATAGTATCTCGTTAGCACAAGATAAATAAAAACGCACAAATGTCACCTTTGTGCCACCGTACCGTACGATTATGATATGCAGTAAATCGTTATTTATAATAGATATGTAATTATATTTTTCTAAAATTTTACCTAAAAAAACTAATAAAAGATTATTCTATTTTATTTATTTTTCTTTCCTGAAACAGGAACAGAAATAAATAGTTGGCGTCATGATGCATGAATAGACAGGAAAGTTAATTTAAGCAGAAAAACAATATATGTCGATGTCAATTCAGTAATATGACACCTTGGAATTATAACATATAATATCATTTTTCATGATAGAACAATCTCTGAAAAAATAAAAGTACCAACACGTTATTTTAGAGCTGCTTTGTCTACAGAAGAGCCAAA